AAAAAAAACACCTAGTGTGAGAAATTGTCCATTCTTGGGTTTCCTTTTATGCATCAGGGTTTGGCAGAGATAAAAATGTTATATTTACATGTAAGGCTTGTGTGAAATGGCTAAAAGAACAAAGTAAGTTTGCTTAAAAGAGAAAGGAAATGGAAATTAGCAACCCTGATTTTTGGCAGAAACAAGATAGAGTGGATGCAATAGAATTTGGTGCATAACCCATGAGAACACCCATTATTTCCTCTTGTCGAGAATGACTCCCCCAGAAGGCGACCACATTGGATTTTCAGCCTTATCCGGTTACTCACGGGATTTATTATATGGTACAAACAGCCAAGAGGAAGAAATATAATAATGAAATGCTAGTTAATAATTACAGTGTGATAGTTAATCATTATAGTTAATAATTACGGAATTACATCTGACTTCACATGTAATTAGATTATCACAACAATCTCATGGGGCATTATTTTCCACAGAAAAGTGTGATACCAGACAAAACTAAGAAGCCATAAATCCCTTTGAAAACCAGGTCTCCGATGCTAGAGACTGAACTTACAGGCAGTACGCTTCATTCTTTCAATGTGCTAGAACAGAGTAGATCAAGAGTGGATAGATGGGCTGCAATTTTTAAAATAGAAAAGAAAAATATGAAAAGGGATAATATCCTCTCTCTTCCCAGGCTAGATCTGTGCCCTTTCTTTCATCTGGAAGGTATATACAGGTTCAAGAATAACTTCAAAATTAATCATATCAATTATAATTAGATGATTGATTATATAAATCATGAAGTACTGAAATGCTGTATTAAATGCTGACTGGTCTTAGCCGAGGGCTGTCCTGACGTACTACGTTCATGATCTTTGAGGCCCTTTTCTGCTAAGGAGACACACAAAATACCTTTAATTGCCCTTCAGAGACCACACATACCAGCCGTACTTAGGGAAGCCTGTCTGTTGAGATCGTCCACCTAGTGATGTATCTGGTCTTGAGAAAAAAATTTAATGGCTTTTTTCTAACCGATTGTGGTTATTATTATCCCTGACCATTTTTATTCTAGAGAAGAGTGCCTGGCACAGAATAGGCATTCCATGACTTTTTTTAAATGAACAGAAAGAGGGCCGGCCCGGTGGCGCACTGCT